TGTTTTGTTCACCTCAATGTGACCTGATTGTGTTTACAGCTCAGGAAGCATGCCGTCATACACAATACGAATCGGAAACTGTACGAATGCCCCAGAGAGGGATGCTCAAAAGTATATTTGAAGGTAGGTTACCTTAAAAAAAAGCTGCTGGAATCTGAAAACACAAATTCTATCAAAGAGGATAGAAAGAAGCTGTTGTGTCAAATTACAGTGGTTCATGTAAATTTTCAGCCCACAAGACAATTATCGTTTTGTAGGATTATTCATCTTGCTCAGAAAACAGTGATGAAGAGTTTCCCCGATAGCCGTCCGTCACTGAACTAATGGAGCATGCTGTGCTATCCTGAATATTGAAAGTCAACTGCTCGGCGTGTGTAGCATAAAACACTGTATTTCACTTTATGCCAGCTGCATTGAACTCGACATTTTGATTGGCTTATTTTTCAGGCATTTAACCTCAGAGTTCACATCAAAGCCTTCCATGAGGGCCACCGGCCTTATCTGTGCACATGGGAAGGCTGTGCAAAAGGATTCGCCCATAAGGTACAGCGCTTCGTGCTTTATCTTTTTCATTTTTTTTCTTTTTTCATTAAATGTTTATGAAATTATATTCGTAATATTTTGTGTTGCTTTTCACTGTTTGTTTCCCCTTTGTGTATCTACAGAATTCTCTCAGAAAACATCTAGTGCTCCACGCAGAGAGAAGAATAAAGCCAACACCGTCTCCTCAAGACAGATCACCGTCTAAGGTACAACTGTGTCTGTTATTGAAAAAAATTCCATAGATTGACGAGTCTGATGTTTTTATGCAAAATCATTTTTTGTACTATTAGATGTAAAAAAAAAAGACACTTAAATTGTCATTATGAAACAGTTCAACACTACAAAAATACGAAAGGAAATAAAGAAATTTGAACGCCGCAAACAACCACACTGTAAAATTTAGTGTAAAACTGTGAAATTTTGGCGAATATTCTCTAAAAACTTTTTATTATTTTTTTTTTGAATGCTGCGTGCCGAGGTGTACTGTTTAACGTTAAATTTTAAATATCCTGTGTTCGTATATAGAGCAGAGTAGCACTCTTATGCTCATAATACCGGTTTGTCCCTTTTGTAGAAAAAAAAGAAGAGAAGAAAGCCACTATCACTCGCCAAAAAGCTCAGTGGGTATCGCTCCTCCTTTTCTGAAAGCTCCGACACCCAGTGCGCGGATACAGCGCCGAAAAAGAGAAAAACGTCATATACTCAATCCGGGAGGAATGAAACGGACAGCATCAAGCACACAGATCCAAATGTGAGGCAAGATGTAAACATGCAACGAACTAATCTCAACACGAGTGGCTTAAACGGCATCGCCGAGGCAGCAAAAATGGCGTCTACATCTCTTAACGTCGTTTCGAATAGCACGTTTGTGGCTCAATTAAGTGATGCTACTGTGAACCCTGAAACACGGGGTAGGTTTGAAGGAGCTCAGGGTCAGGATATTGTAGCAGACGGTTCTTCGGTCTCTCTGACTTCATGTGATGATTTTGTAATATTGCCAAATGTGGTTGGTAAAAGACCCGAGGAACTGCAAGATGAAGTTACCTCAAGTCTTTCGACAAACAACGGTCTTGGACAAAATGCAGACTCTTTTGCAGGTGATGTTAGCATGTCTCCTTCCTCTGATGATGGAGGAGAATTCATGGATTTTGAACCAGCCGTTGGTGATAATTCTGTGGCTAATTCCCCTTTACCGTGCGAATCTGAACCTGCAACTGACTTGGTGGAACCATTTAAGTTTGGAGAAGCTTCGAGTGACCAACAGTCATCCGCTGACCTAGTACGAAGGAACACTGAGGGTTCGCCTTTTAGAGTCGACGCGGAAATAATCTCGACTATGGTGACTACTGTATGTGTAAATGATTTATTAGGAGACAATGACTCGGGTTGTTCGAACTCGTCCAAAGTTTCCAGTCCAGTTGATCAAGTGAAATCAGTTGGAACAAACAGTACCCAAAACATTGGTGGGAAAGGGATCATGGAATCCAGTGACATCCGTTCTTCAATGACGGGTGATAAAAACAATTCTGACGCATTCTGCTCTGTATCAGATGAAATAGCTTCGGTTTCGCAGCCTGGACCACCTCTTGGAGGTGACAATAACGTAGACGAAAACGGTGTCAGCGACAAACTTGCCAACGTTACAAAAGTCGTAGACTTCCCGGTTATGGACGATGTGCTTCAAATTATCGAAGAAGAAGAAGAAAACGAACATGACAGCGTTCGGTGTGGAAAAATTACTGACAGTAAGAGTGCTGATAAGGACGAGGTGGTGAGGATGGATAACCTAAGAGTCGATGATACTGGCTATAGAGTGGACATATGTATTGAAACACGGTTGATGAGTTCCACCAACCCGGGGGCGGAAGTCCCACACGGAAACGAGGGGGATGGAGAGTTACCGGAAGAGCAAGACATGGTAGATGATACTTTAAACGGTACTTCTCATCACGATAATATCGATAGCGATGAAGAGGACATCGTTCTTTCAGAACTGGTGAAACGGTTACGAGACTCTAGCGAGCATAAGACCCGAGCAACGAGTGACAGAGAACACAAGGAACAAAGCTGTTCAACTAGTTCAAACCGTAACACGAGACGAGGAGATGAAACATGTGGTCTGGGACGTGAAACAAGTCAAAGTGAGGGCAAGACGACGGTTATTGAGAAAAATTCGCGGACGAAAAGTCCACAAATTGACTCAACCCGTGCCACTAACAGTGTGAACGACTCAAACTCCACCGCAGAAGTTGCTCCAGACAAAATTACCGTGGAAGTGATATCCGGGACACGTGAACGGTTTTGTAAGCCGAATTCAAAGCAGAAAAGTAAGAAAAATGTTGGTGTTCAACTAACCGAGAACAAGTCCGCCTTGCGCACCCAAGCAAAACCTCTAGCCCCTCGGAAAGAAAAGTCTCCGAAAGGCGCCAGTCAAACTAATGTTAACAACTTGAAGGGTGACAATTCTGGCTCGGGGAAAAGCAGGAATTCTGATATAATCGCGGGCAAGAAAGATGAATATGTCGGGGACGTTTCCAAAGCCAAGTTTCGAACTAAAGACAATATTTTTGCCTTTGATGTGCAAACGTTGGAATTATTGTGGAATTTTAAGGGGAAGTGACTGAAAACGCTTTTTAAGGCTGCCAGCAGTGAGTCACTAAGGCGGCTTACTGGGAGTTTCGAGTTCATTATCTTGCGGCAGCTCTGGCAGTTTGTAGGAAGACCCAAAACTTTATACACTAGTTTTGAGGAATTGACATTTTTCAGTCATCAGTCTTGATGTTTTGTCGACATATCTCAGTTCGTCTATCTAAATAGAGAACCCACCTGATAATTGCTTGTTTTTCCATCGGAAGTTCTGATAATTGTTATTGTTATTGAAACTTCTTGTAATTTTGGTTATCGATGGAGCTGTCTTCCCTGTTTTGATCCCTGAACACCGTCACTAACAACAGCAGTTAGAGAAAAGTTAGCAGATCTGTACGTTGAATGGTAGAACCTTAAAGCCTTTGTGTTATGGATAACTGCTACCGTTGTAAGGCAGTGAAAAATGTGAAAAATGGTCTGATTTTAAACCGCATCTGGGATTGCAATTAAACGTTTATTATTTCAATTGCTGTTTTCAAAAATGATTAAAACTTTATCAGTAAATCAGGTGCAACACTATTTCTGTTTGACTAAATGCAGACGAGGTATAACCTAACTGGGTTTGCCTAAAATTTGTGAACAAAATAAGGTATTTATATCTATTTAAATGTATGATATTCGAAGTTCAAAAAAGAACAAAGGTATCAATAATTTGATGAAATAAAAAGGTCTATGACTGCATGTGCCTACTGTGGTATAGTTGTAGAGTATTGCAGTAAAAAAGCAAAGTGGTGTAAAATGCAGAGGGATTAGAATGAACAACTCTTGTCAATGCCAAAATTGTGACAAAAGGACGACTTAGCTAGAACAGAGTTTGTGCAATGGTAAAGTGAAAGGTCGGAACAAGGCGGGAAATTAATCCTTTAATCCTTAAGATTAACAAGGTTCTAAGTTCTTATAATATCACCTCTGAAAAAAAGGTTTAAGTCACAAGAATAAAGAAAATGATGAGCAACTAACAAAGCACTTGATGGTTTTACAAATTCTCCTTGTTAGAACCTAGGAAATGTATAGCGTACAGTATGGAGACTATGCATAATGATGTTAAGGTGTAAAGGGTTAATAGAGTAGGTACATGTATTTTATGTGCACCAGAGATTATGAACTGAGAAGTTTACAATCTCTTGACGCGCATCAAATGTATTTTTAGACAAAATTTCGCTGCTTCGTAGGCCCTGCGTATCTAGCGCGATGTATATACCTTCTCCTCTCGAGTCTGAAGTTCAAAGGTTTTAGCCCTGGCCACTTTAACTTAATTTTGTCTTTCTTTTTCTCGTCTTTTCTTATTCTCTTTTTTTTTTCCCTTTCAATTGAAATTCTTCTTCAAAGGATGTGTTAGACATGTGCAGAGTAAAATGCACATGTGAGAACGTTTGACGACGTAGCTTTCACATTGAAATCGATGAAACAAAAATGAATCTGTAGAAACCCGATCAGATTCGTTCAACTATGGCCAGAGTTGGAGCTGAACCATATCAGAAGAGTGGTTACGAGTGTCTCACGATAGTCCGCTATTTTGGAAACCGTGAGGGGTTTGGCGAAGGTTCGCGGACTTGCACGACACCGTTACATAATGCTAACGGCCTTCCCGGAAGGAAGGCACAGCAGTCACAAAAACAAAAGCCAAAAAGGTAAGAACTAAATACCTCGTACTACTGCAAGACTGAAATAGAAATAATAATAAAACAATAGTGACCATGGTGATACTAATGATTGTCATGGTAACTGGGCGATCACCATTTGCATCAAGACAGATCAACCAATAAAGTAGTTTCTAGTTTCAAAAACATAACTTAAACGGTTTTGTGCTTTTATGAGGATGTGTTGAATAAGGTGTTTTGAGAATATGATAATGAGGTTTGGCTTTGTGACACTACCTTGATACCAGTGCTCTTTGCTCGTCAGCCCAGCTAACGGCATCAAACCAAGTGTGATTATTTTGAATAACACAGGGTTTAACAAACTTAAGGTAAATTTCAGAATTTGTAGGGAGAGGAACCCGAGGACTTAAGTTGTAGGTAGGTTAACCAGGGCTTTGATATTTTTTAAATTGTTATTTTGCGCATTCGGCGAAGAGGGAGCCATTTATTATTATCCATGCTCGGAAAGATCACCTAAATTTAAACTGAAATTTCACACAGTAGATTTCATTTTGTCGTGTTTGCAAGCAGCTTCTGTTACATGCACTCAGTTTGCATCCTCATCCTCTAAAAGCATTATTTACTGCACTTCGTGATTATGGTAATTATAAGAGTTGAACAATCGATTCTATATTCCCTTGATTGTGATCTTGTTTCACGCTCAGATTAGTGAACAGTCTACAATGGCGTTTGTGGAAATTTTAATCTTCGCTATGGTTTTAGCTGGAAGTACTACAACGATTGTGACTCTTTTTACACATTGTAATGGCGGCCACGATGGAGAGAAGCACAGAAAATTAACACCGGAAGGAGAGACGACTTCAAAAAACAGATATGTATGAAGTGGCAAGGCTTGTCAAGATTTGTACCGGACTGAACTGATCTTTATAATCGCATACTCACAAGGGAAGCTTGTTACAAATGGCGAAAACTCATTGGGTTTTGTGGATTGCAGTAAAACCATTTTATGAATTTCATTTCCTCAGGCCAGAATAAATTTACATACCGGCCTTGAGCTGTGGTTGCCAGTGAAACCAAGATTATTGTCCAAATATTAGTTGATAATTTCTTAATTAATATACATCATTCTATCATTTACCTTGTATTTAAGGCCGTATAAGAATACAGAAACGTTTTTTGCTCGTGGAGAATTGAGAGTGGTTAATGTATTTGCCCAAACGCCTTTTAAGGTACGTTTTGGTTAAGTTTCCAGGGAAACCAGTCTTGCCTTAAAGCATTTAGGCAAAATTTATTCAGGAGAAGCCAGAATGATGGGCGCACATTCAACTCGCGTCACAAAAGCAGAGATATAGTTTTACGGTTATCTTTAATGAAAGACGTTATCTCGGAGTTCTCTCACAAGAAAGTTTGTACCAAAAAGAAGAATAGAAGTGAGTATTTGGAGGAAAATTTAGTTGATTGAACAACAGTAATTCATGCAGTTATACTCGCGTTCGTCTGCAGGAAATGAAATGGAACATTTCATCTAACACAAAGAGGGAATAGTCCAGACCATTCTAAGCGATTTATTACACAATTTTAACCAATCACTGTTTATTGAACACATTGAAGACTTTACCCGTCAGTAGGTCAAAAAAGCAAACGATTTTGATGGGGAGAGATTAATCATTTCTTAAGTGAATATTCAAATCCTAATTTACATATGTAACAGACAGGGGTCCTTTTGACAAACTCTTTGAATCTATTTATATGCCTTAACTTTAGTGTTTCTTATCAAAGGGGAAATTGAAATTCGCATCTGTTGCTTAATTTTTGATGCGGAATCGCTTTATGAAATCCGCCGCATACTGACTCCAGTAGCTCGAATCCTGCGTTACATGTGTCTTGTGTTATCGAAACACTGACCGATGAGGGGCGATGTGTTGTTGTGCTTTGTTTTTTTAGATAGACTTTGGTGGCATAATTGATGAGTCTTTCGTCTTTGTCTGAACTAAATTTAGCTCATATCAGTGGAAATAATTACAAAGTTTAATGTAACTTTTCAAGGTAGCAAACACTCCAAATCAAAGTTATTGATAAAGGAACTTATGAAGTATATTGGCAAGGACACCTTAAAACTGAACGATCGGCGGTAAATCCACTTTATCCACACTTCATGCGTATGGCTTTGTGATGTGATCAGTTGTGTGTGACGTTCATGCACGGTTGTCAGTTTTTTGTCAGCTTTTATTTCTGGCGATGATGCAATGTTAAAAAAAAATGGGGGAAGGGGGAGTGTTTTGGAATTTAGAGTTTCCCGATGCAAAGCCCCCTCTCTGAATATCGGACTATACGGCTATAACTGTTCTAGAAAACCACATGGAAATTTCCTTCTCGTTTTCAACCAGCCTTTGTTGTTTTTTTCAATGTCCTAATTAATTCAAATTTTATCCATTCGACAACGCCAATATGATTGCTAAGTTACGTCAAGACGAGGAAAACACTACTCATCATAAAAAAAAATTTTTAACACCCTCGGAGGTTCTTAATAAGAATCCCCACACCTTGTTTGTTCGATCTGTTGGCTCTGCGCGGCCGGTTCCACTGTCTCATCGTTTCCTTACTGAACGCCTGAGAGAGGCTCAAATTTTTTTTCACCCAGAAACGATCGTATGAATTTCGATCTTGCAAAGGGTCTTTACACCTCTGCATCACCAACATACGTTCACTCTGCTCCTCCATTCGTTATGTCATATGCCATTAACATTAAGTATGAAGGCCTTATAAACTTACTGTTTTTTTTCTCAATACGTTTTGTCTACTAGTCCACTGCTACAGTCATGCTGGTGTTTGAATCAATTCTGATTGGTGTCTGTACAATGATTGGTGCGCTGGCTGCAGTACTGGCCGTCTCCCATTGGAAATGTAGAAAATCTAATAACAAGGAGGGAACCCGAAAGAAAGAGTGATACAAGAAAATTTTTGGTACTCGTATAGGAACATTATTTGAGAAGCTTTTGTAATTATATCTATCTTAATTTTTGATTCCACCATGCAGACTACTGGACAAATAACAAGCGATTTCATCCGCGTTTCATTTAAGACCACCGGTTACTTGGAGGGTGAAACACCTTGGAGTTAAACATTCCAGAATTTGATCAGCCTTAAAGTTTTCTTTAACCACAAGCGTCACATGGAAACACATGAGCTAATTTGTTTGGGGCGATATGAAAGAACAAATTTACCTTGCTGATATTGTACATAGCTTGCTATCCATCATAGACCAATAACTGTAAAACTACGAAATCATTTAATCAAGTAAAGTTTGCCTTATGTCAGATTAGAAATTAATTGATGTCTTTGATTGGGATAGATCTGTAAATCTGGAACCATTTTGGTTTCCTAAACAGAGAGGAAGATCTGCCGGCGACCATTGGTTAAATAATATATTTATTTCACCATTTCTTAAACTTTCAAGAGGCAAATACCACAAATGGCAAACGATATTATATTGTTATGCTTCCTCTGACTCTCTATACTCTGGTTGGTTTCTTTATTTACCATTAACATCTTCACAACCTTACAGTTTGGAGGACTAGCTCCCACAAAGGTGATAATAATAAGGCTCTCGATCCTTGACCATCGTCCATTGTGCATCTTCACACTTAACTATAACGAATCACGTTTAGTTACAAAAAGTGGGCCTTGCAAACTTGGCATTTCCTTCGAGATGTTGACTCTTTACGAAGTTATTTTTCTATACCAATTACGATGGAACAAAACAAAAGCAAGATTGACTATTAAAATAAAAATTTAGGGACCCTACGGATGAAATAAGAACCACATTTAACAGGAGATCTGCAGAGAAAATAACCTTTACAGACTGTTACATAAAAATATCTAAGATAGGTATAAAAACCAGAGAAGAAAGGGTTTATCTAAGGTAACGCCTTTCTTATAAATTGCCGAGCTATATGCTCTTCAAACAAGTTACCTGATTATAAATTCATTGCGGATAATAAATGCTTGGAGTTGTCTACACGCATAGTCCCTTTGAAGGAAGAGGCGTCAAACGTGCTAAAATTGAAAAGAACAGAGTTATTTCCTGATCGTTAATTTGACACGGTACGGTATTGTTTGTGTAGGTAATCAAATGATTTCGTGTGAATTTGGAATAAATAAGCAAGAGAAAATTTTTCAAAGACTAACAAAATTGCACTACGGGCTCGTGCAATTCGTGGTCTTTGAAAAAAAATTTACAAGTGCTCCAAATTGCACGAGAAAATCATGTGATTACGTATTAATAATAATCATCAAAAAAATATGAGATAGCTCATCAAAATTATGCAGAAGCAAAGTGCGCGCATCGAGTGGAAAAACAATTTATTCAAACCCTGCAAGTGGCATTGTGCGTTCGGTCAAAACAACCGCGTACGATCAAAATAATAATATGCGATGATACTTTCACACATTTAAGGCGCAATAAAGTTCAAAGTCCGGCTAAACAGTTCAAGGAATTGTTCACTGGGGTTTGTTACTTCTTTGCACTGAATTTACCCTCTTCTGCTTTGAATTACGTGAAAACTGCATTTATCTTAACCAATCAGAACTGAGTAATTTTTTCATGTATCTTATTAGGACGATAAATGACTACTTTAAACGCAGGAGGTATTAAGAATGATGGAAACTTACTCATAAACATGTAAAAAGTCTCTGCATGATCCCTGCGGGCGCCGAAAGGTTTGAGTCTGTTATGATCATTAGACAGATGGTTAATTTGAACGAGGTCGTCGAGTAGTTCCCTTGGAACACAAAGTTTTGAGGTTCGCTTCCTTGCTATTAATTTTTCGGTTTCATACTCGTGACAAAACGAACCACGATTGAACCTCGCTAATTGTGCTCCTTCGCGTTCAGGATGATAATGTATGAGCATACACCATTCAAATTCATTTGAATTTGGGATTTTGCGCCTCAGATCGCCGGGAACTGAAACACCCAACCATGTGTTGATTTCCTCCCCTGTTCTCCTTTGATGCGAAGTATCACAGTTCCGTCCGAGAATCTCATAACTGAAAATAGAGCAAAATAACTGATAAGCTTCATTAGCACTCAAAACTGATCAAGAAAACATGTAATAGGCCTACTTAAGAAGTTATTATTTTACCCGTATTTCTCTGCATCTAAAGTTTTCGTCCTTTGATAAGTTATCAAGATGAACGAATCGATCCGAGTCACTCAGCTGACACCTGAATCTGTTTTTGCTGTTCTTTTCTGCTTCAGAGTTATAGAACTTACATCGCGGTTCCTCCAAACACTCAAACTGACAAGATATTTCTGAATCTACTTCTGTTTTGGTAATCAAGCTTGTAATTAGCCTTAATTTCTGCTGTATCCTTAACATATAGTTAACAGCTTCCAGGCTGAGCTCTGATTTACGACTAATCCCATATACAAACTTACCTTAAGGAGTAAGCATAGCAGATTCATGCTCTGTTCGTTAACAGTGAGACGGTTTAAATAAAATACTGCCTTGTTTTAAGTTAAACATGTTTCTCATAGTTAAACAGCGCGCGGGGCTGTAAGGGTTATACGATAGTGTGTGCCAAGTTTGTCGAGGGCTTGGTTAGAAAACTAGTGACTTTTTAAGATATCTATTGAAGACGTCCATACCGGAACCCGAAAAAAATCTGACATAAACCTTCAGCAAATAATCAAAGTATTTCGTAATATAATCGTTAATAAGAAAGTCTGGTCTTAGCAAGGCAAATGTAAGATGCAGGCGCATTTTTGTTCTACCCTACATGCATAATGTTGAGATCAGGAATGTGAACCACAGTCTAATTCCTCTAATTAGCTGTGTATCGGCTATGGAAAGGAAGCTAGCGCTAAGGTCATTATCAGGATGACGTTTGTGAGAAGCACCGGTTATGTAAACTATCCTGCGTAATCATTCCTGCGATTGAATAAAGGAAGTAAATTTCTAAAGAAACTGTGGTGCTGCGTCGGTGGGAGAGTATAGCAGGTAATTTAGTGTTAACAACTGAGCTGATAACGTAAATTGGCCACTGTAAAGAGTTTAAAGGCTAAAGTTTCGAGCGTTAGTCCTTCGTTAGAGCGATCATTTGTTTAAGTATCCTGTCGAATATTAAACACCGCCGAACTGCAAAACATTTTTCTGCCTGTTGATGATGGAGCATGGCCGATCAAACGCGAGCTGGAGCTGGAATAATCATCAACTAAATGCATCACTAAATATAACAATTTAAAGGTAGCTATAATACTCTCAGTCTTTAGGTTCAATATTGGGGAACTCCACTCTGACTGTTTGAGAAATGTTTGAAAGTCAGCGGATGTAATGCTTACATCATTTTTATCCTACCTTTTCTCATAATTTTATTTGTTGTTTCTTTGGAGTATGACTCAGGTAATATTTATCTCCACATAGAGTAGTAAAATACCATTTTACGAGACCTGTTTTACAGATATCATTTTTTTGCCTCACTCTTCTCTCGCGCTTTTTCCCGCTTGTTACAAAACGTCCTCTCATCGCATCCCTTCCCTCTCCCTCTCGTTTCATAAAAAAATTAGGCCTTTCATGCTGGTTTCATTTACTAGTAACTCCGACGGAATCATCTTTACGTACAATAATATCAGATAGGGAATTCATAAGATCATCTGATTGCTACAGTTTTCTTTAAGAGACATTTGGTATTCTCTTGTTTCCTTATAATAATCTTAGTTGACATGTTTTTTCTAAAGATTATCTAACAATTTTAGATTTATTCTACAATATTCACCTATCGGGTCTCATGATAATCTTAATTGACATGTTTTGCTAAAGATTAACTGACAATCTTAGATTTATTCTACAATGTTCACCTATACGGCAACTTTCATTTCAGAGCGAGGATAGAGTATTCTTTTGTAAAGGCTACTTTGGAAGGAATCTACAAATTCCACTGTCAATTTCTCCACCGAGGCGCGTACCACAGCAAATCCTCCTAATCTTAAGTACTCAGCCCAGAAAAACAGCGAGCTTCCTTGTGGTACTTTGTCTTTGTTCGGGGTGCTTTTCCACAAAAAGTCGCCAGCTCCAATGACGAAATATTCAACGGAGGAATTCTGTTCTTTCAGGTGCTGGAGGTTGCCATTGCGTCATAGATTTTGAAAAGAATAAACAGAAGGAAAGAGAAGTAATTCAAATGGTTAGCGAAAGGGTTATAAGTGGTGATTACCTACATCTAACACTTGTTATTATTGTTACCAACCTAACATATAAGTATGTCTGAGTAATTTAGTATTATCAACTGAGTTGATAACGTAAAATGGCCATCGTAAAGAGTTTTAAGCTGACGTTTCGTGCGTTAGCCCTTCATAAGAGCGAATGACAAAGGGCTAACGCTCGAAACGTCAGCTTTAAAACTGTTTACGATTGCCAATTTACGTTATCAACTCAGTTTATAATACTAAATTACCCTATTTTTTTTCTGATGAAGGGCTAACGCTCGCAAGGTCAGCTTTTAAGCTCTGTACGGTGGCCAATTTACGTTATCAGCTCAGTTGATAATAATTTATTATCCTGTTATACTCTCCCACCTAAGCAGCACCGCAGTTTCTTTGGAAACTTATCCCCTTTATCTATAATCAAGTATGGACTACTATGAACTTTAGGGAGCAAAGAGAAGTTTAATACTAACTGTCGGGTTCATGTTAGTGAGGTTGCGACTCATCGCGCACGGGTATTTTCCTTTGCCCGAAAACCTTTCTGTGTAATCAGGACTGGCGAAATTTATAGGTAAAAATGTGTTTTTTTTCTTATTCATCTGTTGCATAAGACCATGGGATTTTCGAAGTGGCCCCCGAAGGATTTATAGACTGGACGCTTTAGTCAAGGGACAGCCCGACTTATCACCTGCGCCCAGAGAAAGAGTCCCTTCTTTCGTATCGCCTTACAAACTAGGTATTCACACATTCCCTTAAGTAGTAAATTCCCTTAACGAACGTGCTCACTGCTTCTCAGTTGTGTCCACCTATAAGAGCTTTACTTGAATCGATCGTTTCGTTAGTTTTGGTGATATTCACACAAGCGAATATTTTGTAAATAGAGAAATCGAGATCCCTTTCTTTTAGCACCCACGACAATCAAAAGGAGTAATACATTTAAATTTCGAGGTAATGTTGGTGATGATCATTATGATAATGATGATGATGGTGACGATAATGAGTGGTTATGATAACGATAATGATGATGACGACAGGGGTGCGAAAGAGACGTCGAAGCGGAAAGAAGAAGAGAGAGTGAGGAGGACGATGATGTTAGATGCTCGTAAGGCCTGTCCACGAGGCGCATAATTGCCGCAGCGTGACTCTGTTTCTACATCATGAAGCGATTTGGCCTGAATACTCATATTCTCCATGGATGACGTGTTGGTTTACCCCTGGCACACTTCACCCAAACCATTTTAGAGAAGTACCATGCGAGCTTTGTCCTCTGTAGGGTAATGTAACAGCATTGCTTAATACGCAGAGCTAACACGATTGAACCTGAAGGAGATCAACACGGATTGACTTCCGCATTTGGCACAAGGCTAAAGCGTCTCCCAATTCAACTTAAAATAGATATAGCAAAATCTAATCATCTACTTTATGGGATAAAAAGTCATTAACTGTCTTTCTGAAAAGAGTTATTCCTACAAAATTACAATACATCTGCAACACGTGCAATGGAAAGGTAAGAGAAATTGTTTTGGACCAACAGACCCAGTGACTCAGAATACTGATAGGCAATGGAAAAAGGCAGAGAAAGGAGTACCTCTAACAGAGTAGTCAGCTTTGCAGGTTAGACATAGGTAAAGTAAACGACGATGCAATTATTTCCGTTCCTTGGTTTACCTCCGAGTAGTTTGTTAAAAAGATTAAGGTACTAAAAAGTTGCTAAGCTCGTTACCATGTCTCTCTTCATTCCGCCCAACGGAGTGCGTATAGAAGAGAAGGCTTGGTATTAAAGTTGGGAAATTTTATACTGATCAAAAGATTTTTCATTTCTAAAATTGAAAAGTCAAAAGGGTGCAGACGGGAATACTTCGAAAAGATTAAGATGAAATGTAGATAGTTAAACTAGAAAACCTCATTCAGTCGTAGATTTCCACGACAACACACACAAAAAACCTATTTAACTCATAAAACCAAACAGATAAGGTACTGCGACGCTTTGATTTAAACAAACATTGCGAGACACAAAATAATTTGCGTGAAACGAACTGACAGGACAAAGGGTACAGAGCGGAGCGTAATAACTAAGCTCCTGAATGACGAGGGTTGAGCTGAGCTTTATAGACAGAGGATCCATGGGAATCCAACATCTCTAGTGTAGTGCTATCCACCGCCATGTGCACCACAGCAAATCCTCCTGCCTTGCTGGAGTCAGCCCAGAAAAACAACGAACTATCTTTGGGAACTTTGTTGCTGTGGCTGGTATTGTTGTCTATTTTTGCGCCAGCTCCAATTACAAAATAATTGACCGAGGAGTCCGCTTCTTTCAAGTGCTAAAGGCAATCGATAGAATTAAAGGTAAATCCAATGACATGAAAGAAACATAGAAAAATAATGAAGTTTATCACATGATGGCAGCATTTCGTCGGCTTGCGTTCTGATGTGGCAACTGAAAACGACTTCAGAGCCAATTATGATGGTGATGATAATGATGATGATGATGACGATGATGATGATGACGATGATGATGATGATGATGATGATGATGATGATGATGATGATGATGATGATGATGATGGAGGAGATGGCTTTCAAAATAGTAAAAGTGATGGCGATGTCATTTTTAATGTTGAGAACAAAGAGGGCTGGGAGAGATGACAACATTAAGGAGAGAGGAGATATTATGGAGGAGAAACAAGGGCCGACTTCGTAAATTTTATTAGTTTACCATCGCAAAAACGCAGACAGGTGTAAGAATGATATGGCAAAGTTCGTTAAAACCTTAGTCGTGGTCAGTGATTCATATGCCTTATTTAGTGTTCTCCCGTCATCTCAAGTGTGTTCTGATTACAGCAAGCAAAGCAGTGTGGAATATAGGGAATAACTTAAGAGTGAATTGGTTAACCTAAGCAGAACTACTCGAGAGACCATCACAAAAGTTTATATTCAATTTTTAAAGAAATATGCCAATTACCTGTAGGTTATGATCATGTCCACTGATATAAGCAGTCACGTGATATTTCTCCAACAAAGGTCTTAGTCGATCAACTAAACATTGGGTTGGTCCGTGCTCAGCTATAGACCAGACTGGGAAGTGGCCTCCAACGATCAGATAATGTGCTGTGGACGAACGAAGGGTAGATTCCAACCAATCCCATTGTGCCTCGGCAACTTCAATAGATTCGGGCCCTGAAATTTATGGGCGAGAGAAATATTGAAAACGCAAAAGAAAGAAAATTTTCTTGAATACAACATTAGAAGCATAAATTGGTTGATCTGTTGTCAGGGCCAATCAGTCAGACATATTAACATTGAAATGATAATGATCTGGAATAGCTTAACAATTTTATCCTTAATACCCCTCTCTAAGTCAATTGTTGTAGTTTGCTATTTGCGATTGTACAACATGGAATGGGGGAGCCGAGCGCAAATCCATTTCTAAGAGTGGATTCGTGTTTTTGTTTGTTGGTTTATTCTGTTTTCCTTGGTTACTCAAGCTGTTTGCCATTTTAGCGGAGATGTGTCGATGAGGACCCGCTGAGACACAGGTTAAGTCAAGAAAGCAACACCAGGAGATCGGGAGAG